TCTTGAGTGAAAATAATAGTGGGGGAAAAAATAAAAGTGAGARCAAGAAAAGAGCGGTAAGAAACATGAGACGAAAGAAAACGTACTTACTTTTTCACGAGTCCCACTATAGACATTTATTTTCTTTAAATGGGTGGTGTTAGCATCTTGGAGGGTATTAGCCTACATATTAACATGACTTCGTGAAAACCATTGTTGACATCATTTTATGTCGGGTTGCTACCTAACAAGTTTCTATGAGTGGCTGTGGTTTGAAACTGATGTTAGTGTGTTGAAAGCCTCAGGGGCTAATAGCTGGTCCACTTGTCTTCTTGATGTAAAACTTTTTGAATGAAAATGGAAGTGTGCATATTCATTAGTTTTGTAAAGAGTTTTGTGTTTTAGAAAAAAAGGAGATTTAGAATCATTTTTATTTTCAAAACAAAGGATGGATTATGGTATATTGGCTTGAAAGTAAAGTTAGAACGTTTAGCTTGTGGAGCCTTTCCTGAGACTTATATGATTCATTTACTTAGAACATTTGGATTGTTGATCATTCATCTTTCTAGCATGTTGATCGTTTTAGATTTGTTGTTGTTGTTTTTGCTTGAGGACAAGCAAATGGCTATGTTTGAGGGTGTGCTAGGGTTGACCTTTTAAAGTAAAAACATGTGTCGGTAATCCTGTTTGACCACGTTTTTTACCTCTTTCCCATTATTATTTGCCAAAAAGAACCACATATTCTTAAAGTAGAACACGCACAGATTATTTTTGCATGAAAGTCAAACTATGGTACTTTAGAAAAAATATGAGATAAATGCGGTCAGAGTTGGAAGAAAATAACAAAGTTCTATTTTTACAGAATTGCGTCTGGCGCATTTTTGGATGACAAAATGTCAAAACGCACGTGTTGATTAATGAATGGCAAGGAGGACATTTCCCACATGTTCAAAACCGTGAGTCTAAGTTCAAGTGAGGTGGTTAGGTGAATCTCAAACCTTTTCCACCTAAAATTGAGTGGTTAGGTACCAACCTATGCTGCTATAAAAGGAAGCCATCCATCCATCAGCAAATCATCCCTTCCAAGCTTCATTTCATCTTCTTTTAGATGTTCTCTAGTTGTAGAACATGTTTTTAGGGTTTAGGTTCATGTTCTAGTTGTTCGTTTCTTTGTTGTTCACGCTTTTACCTTTTGTATTGCTTTTAATTCAAGTTCTTACTTCCGTTCTTTGTTCATTCTATTATTTTAAAGTTCTTTAGCGAGTTTCAACTCCCTTCACGCTTGAGATAGAAGAGGGTCTAGCTAGAACTCATTGTACGACTTATTAATTCATTTAAATTCAATGAAAAATACTTTCTTTATTTTTTCGTGCATTTACTTTCATTTAATTATGTTCTAAATTAGTTATCAACCTCCTTGTGGAATGCCTTAGTCAAATCATTTGATTTGCAACACGTTCAGGATTTTGGCCAGATTGCGCTTGACACTTTTTTGGGTTGATTTCTAAAAACTTCTCTTTACGTCTTTTTTTCCATATGGCCAGTGGGAACTTGATTTATATACTAAAGTCCAACCTTGGGATTGGTGAGTTAGGTAAAATAATAAGAAATCAATATTGGATGTGACTTAGGAATAAGCGCATAAAATATGGTCCTAGGCATAGGCCCTCTGACCCATAATGCAAATGAGTTGGTAGATATTCTCTAGGATTGTAAGCACACATAGGAATATGATTGTAGGTTACCCTAGCCTCTACAGCAACCAAAAGCGGTAGTGAAAGAGTATAACTCAAATCCCAAGAAAAGCCAGGAATTGCGCTTGGTGCTTTTTCCGAACATAATGTGTTTTCCATGTTTTGCATCAAACCTAAGGTAGGAGACAAGGAGGTTGAGTTTCATTAAATTTCTTGTTAGTTAAAACCCCAAACGACAACATTTCATCACATTTTTCTTCCTAAATCACAATTGCATATTTGAACCATTTCACTGCGTTACTTGATTTTGAAATGCAACAAGTCCCTGAGGATTCGATCTTGGATTACTTCCGAGTATTACTTGTGACCATGTGCACTTGCACGAGTCTCTAATCTTTTTAAAGGTAGAGAAAGTCCCAACAATGCCCGAGACATGGATTGCCTGCATGCATGCAGATTTGAACTGTTCTATAGGGTATTGGATTGTTCATCGAGAATGATGTTGAACACCGTAGCCAATGGCTCATTGTTAGAAAAGTCGGTTAATGAGATCGTCAACATTTTGAATAAGATGATAGACATCAATGACCAAGGAGAAGTAGGAAGGTCATTACCAAAGAAGCAAGTATCAGTCAGAATCTTTGATTTGTACACAGTAGTCTCAATGCAAGCCCAAATGGCGGCTATGGACCATATGTTAAAACAACGACAATAGAGAAGGAAACCAAAACCTACTTCAACAGTGATTCTTGAACTCTCTCCTGTTTTACATTTGGTAAGGGGACGCACACTGACGTGCAGTAGCTGGTGGGGCACGCTGGCATAGGCGATGGCACGGTGTGGCATGCAGGCGTGGGGGACAGGGAAATGCGCATGAGGCGCGTGGTCGCTGATAGACGTGCGAGGAGGTAGGGTGCACGAGAGTGCTGACGAGTGTGTAGGGGTGCCCAAGCGCTGTCGGGGTG